CCCCATCACACTCCCCAAAGGCTGTCCTCCTTGGGCCTTTTTCTCTCATCCCTCTGGGTCAGCTTAGTCCACAGCCTACCCCCTGCTGGGGAAGTCCACACCAAAATAAGTCCACACCCCATCACACTCCCCAAATCTATTCCATTCCAGGCATTTAAATCTTGACCATCACCATGTTATCTGCGTACAGGGGGTCTGCTCATGTTTACTGGACAGAATCAAAAGGAACACTCCTGAACCTGGATGGCTAACTTCCATTTAATGCTGGTTTGTATTGGCAAGCCTAGCTAGCATTGCCAGACTGGCTGCTGCAATTTGCTCCCACCCCTCACTCCTCAAGTCAGTGTGGAAGTCTACTTTCACAACAGAACATTCTGGACTTTATTTGGGCTCCTCTTGGTTGGACTAATGTCTGAGAATGCATCTCCTATCTTGGAAAGGAGGTCTTATAGGAACTGTATGGCAGTTATCAGCTCCCTGTATCTGAGGAAAGAGTCATATGTTACCATTATCAGTTTGATTATTACATCTATAGTCACTTGTAGGTTTGCCTTTGTTGGTGTGGGTCTGTTGCATGTGCTACTATTGTATCCTTGTCTTTCTCTATTTTTTATAATGGTAAATATAACAACAGAGGCAGGTGAGCTGGGGAGTGCAGGGTGTTATAGCAAAGAGTCAGTTTTTGAAAGCTAAGATTGAGCTGCAACGTTAGGGGGAAGAGAATCCACAAGGATTGAGTAGACGTTATGGTGTACATCTATAACGATGGCCCATTTCTTCTATAAGAACATGCTGTTCTGCTGTTACATAGGGTTGTGTCCTATGACAATATTTCCTATTGGACTGGGAATCTAAATTGTTGTTCCTCTCTTTTTTTGTTTGGGCATAGGCTCTCTGTAAGGTTATATTTTATCCTAGAATCTAGGAGTCCCTGTATCCCATGGTGGAGCTTCAGCACCTTAGTTGGTTTAGAAAAGTTAGAAAATGATTTGGTAGGGGCTTCCCACCTGCACTTGTTGCTTGGGATTTAAAAAATGTCTCTCCTTAGTTTTGTAAATAAGAATTGCACTCTTATTTATTTTCATTGGCAGCCTCCTTTTGGCAACATCAGGTGATGGTTTCCAGTATAAAAAGCAGAACAATGAACTCTGCTTAGCTTTTTACACTTGGTGATCTGTCTCTCTTTCAAATGTGACTTTAAAAACATATTTAATGGTGTCAGCTGTGCCTTGAGGGACCAGAATTGCAAACAGGTACATCAAAAGTAAGATATGGCTCCTTCCCCCCCCCCCACATACTCCCAATGTGACATTCAACAACAGGGATTTCGCTTTAGGTTGCACTTACACAAAACTGCCAAAACATGAAAGCAGCCTGTCCCCACACAATAGAGAGTTCTACCAGAATTGATTTCTATATTAGAATGGAACTAAAAAAAGAGGTTTTTGTTTTTTAAAGGACTTCATTGGTATTTCAGAAACAGTTCCTAGTATATTCATGTGATTGCTGAGATTATGTGTGACAGTGGTTCCCAAATCTTTTCACAGGGAGGCCCATCTCTTAATAATAATATTGTCTTGTGGACCACCTCCCTGTTCATTTTTTAATTCACAGACCACCTGCTTCCCATTCCCAAAAGTTCCCTGTGGCAAATCTGGGAACTGCTTCCCTAGAAAAGTAATATTAGGAAATTATTTATGTATCTGTCTATAGGTTTTAAACTCTTTTGCGAATGCAAGACACTAACAGATTTAATTATACTGATTGTGAAAGGAAAGCATCCAAAGATGCTACTTCCTGATTTGGTAGGGAAAGTTCATTTGCTTTGCATTCTTCATTCACTTGCTTTTCACTTATCTGTTTCATTTTATTCAAACTATACATTCATTATACATTTGCTTTGCAAATTTATAGATAATCAAAATAGATGTTCTCAGGTTTTAACATGGGACTTGGTGAGAAGAGAAACTTTAGAGTGAATCACTTTTAAATCACCAGTTTAATGCTCTGGGGTCAGATTGCCAAGAAGTTAGTCGTGAAAGGAAGGAAGTTGCCTATAATCAAGAAAAGTGTTTTACTTACTGACAAGGTTTCACTTTAAGGCCTGAAGAATCCAGATCCAGCTGGTCTGGGGGTAGTATTAAATCATAACCTGAATAAAAGTTAGTTAAAATTGTTATTCATTAGTACAAACCCTTTTTCTCTGAGTTAAGTCAACCAAAAGTTGCTGTCAGCACTATATAAACGTGAAATAATGAGAAAATTAGGTTTTTTTGTTTGTTTTTTAATCAAGCATTGCTATGTCTGGGGGAAAAAAATCATTCTCAGAACATTTAGAATGGACTATGGGGACTTTTCCTTAGAGAGAGGGATCTTTAATAGTGAATGGTTTCTATGATTTCTAATTTTCATGCATTTTAGCCCCAGCTTCTTGCTTTTCTGTACTTAATACATCATAAAAGGGAAGTTTGCTTTTAGCTCACTTTTCTTACCTGAGGGTCATTTTGCTGTATAAAAGGGACACAGAATGAACTATATGGTGTAATTACAATAAAATCGGATCAAATTGGCCAAACTCCTTCCTTTATTATACTTGCCAGAGAAAAATAGGAGGAAAGGTTGAGAGGATCTGCCACACATTTGGAGGAGAAGAATGGGAGTGTAGAATGAGAAATGTCTTACCAATACCAAGAGTGAGCCAGTGACTGAGACATAGCTTTTCTTTGTTCATGTTTAAAAAAACATCGAGATGTTTGTGCTCCTATGCCAGGATCACAGCCTACCGATTCTGAGTGAAACTGCTATGTAAATGAACTGGTGCATTGGAATATTTCTAGTATATGTCAGATGGTTGGTTTTTTTTTTCCTTTCTGTACGTGCATGTGCACCAGTATTTTTCTTCTATAATTATGTTTTCATTTCACAGAACCTCTCAACATTTCCACCTAACACCAATGAGACAAATTTGGTGTTGGCAAAAGTGGGTGCAACTCCATTAAAATCAGTAGGGCTAAACCCAGTTGCACCACTATATACTAATTAATTAGAGGCTAATTAATTGATGTATTGTGGGGTACATAACATATTAATAAACAAATTCCCTCTGACAGGCCACAAACCCCACAAAACATTATTACATTGCTGCAGGATATAGCAAAGCTTTCTTGTTGAACAAAAGTCATTCTCCATTGTCGCCAGATAAAAGATACATTTTTAATCACTATCAATGGTGAAATTAAGCCCTTTTTATTATTTGGTGATACCCTTTTTGAGACAGCTGAGTTATATGGGTTTGAAAGATGGCAGCTTGTCCATGTTTTTTTAATGTCATTTTCCCTACTGGTTGACAATGTGCTTCAGTTTTTGTAATATCTTAGATTTGTTTGTCTAACTGCAACCCTGCTTTAACTCCAATGATGATATTGTGATTACATCAGAGCTGAACTTGAAAGCCCTCTGATAATGGACTACCTTTTCCTTAATTCTAAAATTCCTTGCTTTGTGGTTTAACTAAAGACTGACTGTCCCTTTGCCATTTTATATTCCCGCCCTCCCCGGCAAGGTTCTGATTCTGACCCTCACTGAATGCACGCACACCTTACACAAAGTAAAACTATTTCCCCATGTTTATTCCCCTCCCCTTCCCCCACCCACTGTTCCTCAGATGTTCTTGTCAACTGCTGGAAATGGCCCACCTTGATTATCACTACAAAAGTGCCCCTCCCCCCGCACCCCCCCGCTCTCCTGCTGGTAATAGCTCACCTTTAGTGATCACTCTCCTTACAGTGTGTATGGTAACACCCATTGTTTCATGTTCTCTGTGTATATAAATCTCCCCACTGTATTTTCCACTGAATGCATCCGATGAAGTGAGCTGTAGCTCACGAAAGCTTACGCTCAAATAAATTGGTTAGTCTCTAAGGTGCCACAAGTCCTCCTTTTTTTTTGCGAATACAGACTAACACGGCTGCTACTCTGACACCTGTAACAGTAATATATAAAGTAACAGGGTAATCATATATACTTTCTTCTCATTAAACTAGATTTCAGCCAGGTAGTTAGATACATTTACAAAAAAAAAAAAAACAACATGCTTATTTTGTTTCAAATTGCTGAACTACAAGAGAATCCTGCACAGCCATGAAGTTGGAGGCATGATTCTATCACAGGAAAACATCTTTTTGGTTCTTTGGAAAAAATCACCTATGTTGAAACTATGTAGTAGGGAGTCTCAAGGAAGTTATTTAGCTTATATAGTTTATATATATATACACACATACGCTATCTGTATTCTCTGTATGTGTGTATGTATGCATGTGTGTGTGTATATATATAATGTATATCTATATTTTTTCTGTATTTATCTAGATCCATCTACATCGGTCTATCTGCACAGAGGGTATCATGCATACAGGATATATATGAGCAAGGGGTGGGGCATGCAATATGACATTTCTTTTAGAGGTCTTTCTCTACATATTCTTCAATAAATATGCAAGCAATCATGTAACTCAAATAATTATGGAGACTAAACCTGTTCTCAGTGGAAAGGGATTTATCTGCTGTAAACTATTGGATATTAGTAAGATAGCTCGCCTTTCATGTGCTCATATACTGTAACCAAGGCAACCTTTCATTACTTTGTATCCCACAGGACACCAGTACTAGCATCCTGTCCATTCTAAAATGGACGCTACTACAGCTCTGGGAATCTGTATGCTGTGGTACAGTATCTTGAAAAAGTCATGCCCTTAGCAAGTCTCCCAGGTGAAGGGACAAGTGAGCCATCAACAACAGATGTCAGTTTGCCTTGACATGAACATTTGGATTTGTGTCTCATACGAATAATATAAGATTCCTATTTTTTTGGCTTTTCTAGGATTTATATAAAAATAATGTGTGACTATCTCCTCCCCACCCACACCTCTAATACACTGCAGACACAAAAGTATATGAAGAATATTACTTATTTTGTGGAGGAAAAAAAGAATCCCACAGCATTTCTTTTTAATAACTGTTCAGCTACAAAATTTTATTGGTATCGTTTTATGTTCCCTCTAGAGGATGTAATGCACAAAAGCATTGCCACGGAACATATAAAATTACAAATGAAATTTATTGTAAAAAGTAGAATGTCTTCTAGACTGGTGTCAGTATTTATTTCATTCATAAACCAAAACTGCAGGTATAATATATTCATTGTCAGCAAGTTCATGTGTGTAAATTGCCATCCAATGGTATTGACTGATATAAGACAGATATTGAAAAGACAATTTAAATTTACTCTTCCAAACATAAACTGTTCCACAAAAGCACTGTAAAAACTCCTTAAAGGTTTTGTATTGTGCTTCACATTGATGGTTAACTACATAATTTGGTTGTGTCATAATCCACTGTGTTTGGTAATTTGGCATTAAAGGCCTGCAAAGCGGATTGAATCCTCACCACCTCACTGGTAGATAGTTTGAGTCTATGACGTAGCAAGCAAGAGAACAGGTCTAGACGACGCTGGCCAGGCGGGGAGAGTTTATTTACACGGTCCCGTATCTCTAATAGCTGCAAAAGTGCTGAGTCCTGTGATCCCTGAGTATAGGGGTAGTCCAGCTGCAAAATTAAGTCCCGAATTGCTTCAGGGTCAAAGTGCATGCTGTAGCCAAACACTTGGATGTTGTTGATTTTCATGTAGCCTAGGTTACGTGAAGGATCGATAAATTCCAGGGGTTCATAGTAGATGCTTTCATTGCCATTGGGACCATTTGACTTAATTCGACTCCTCAAGTAGATATGTACTGTTTCAAAAAATGTCTTCCATTTGTTGCCTAGAGTCAGCGTCCAGTTATAACACTGAAGAGGTAAGTCCAGCTTAGTCCGCTCCCAGTCTGGGAAACTGTTTTCATTCACAGGCATGAACCAGCTTTCAGAGTGGCTGCCTCCAAAAGGGTTGACATAAACAGCTAGAACAGGTTCCAAGGTGCTGTTTTTTGTTAGGCAAATTTGAAGAGAGATACCCAGTATCATATGGACCAAGCTAGACTTGTACTTGTTACTCTTAAGGGTAAGGAGCATCCGTTTGCGCCAGGAGGGATCGAACCAGCTATTGAGGCGCATGTCATTGCTGATGAAAATGGCATGGACTTCAATCCTCCGGTCTGTTTTTTGCAATAAATACTTCATCTCCAGGTCCTGAAGATCTGTCTCAAACCCAATGTAGTGCTCTGTGGAGTCTGCCACTTCAGGTTTGCAAAGCCCTTGGCTCAGCATGTATCCGGTATTACAGTTCCCACAGCGGGTGCGGTTGTCAGGTGCACAGGTCAAGCATGCAGAGCCATCTCCCACAATGCAGGGAAGGAATCCATTGCAGGCAACCTGATCATTAGGGCAGGTGCACGAATGAGTCTCTTCAGAAAAGCTTCCCAGAAGACCATTTTCATTGCAGTACAGAAAGGACTGGATGCGGTTTAGCCAATAGATTGACGATCTGTAAAGATAAAAATAATAACAATAATAATTAATAATACAAAGAAGCTGTCAGAATTCAATCAATACAACCTTGTATTTTTTCACTTTGAAAAAGACAAAGAAAACTGATATTGGCAGCAAATTCAGACAGTATAAACATCTCTAAAATGTCAGATGATGACATCTGGAGTGATATCAATGAATATATAAATTTCCAATATAATGAAAAATCACAAAGGAATGTTACCTCATAAACTCAGTGGTGTAACAAGACAATTGGTTTATATTTTCTATTCACTGCACATCATTGCTAAGAAACCCTGTCAAGTAAATAGCTAATTTTCTGCATCTGACTTCACTTTAGTACTCTATCCAGGCTGGATTTTTATTTATTTATTTATTTATTTATTTTGGTGCTATTTTACTAGTTAAGTTGTTATTTGTGTGGGTGGATGTGTACCATCTTTCATCTTTGTTACGTAGTCTTTGGAGGTTTACATGATATTTTGAACTTTCTTGTTCTTGTACTGTGATTTACAGATAGTGAGATTTAGAGACCAAACGTTTAGCTGGAATACCAGGTAAGAGAAAACATTAAAATAAATTCAGACTGAATTATTTGAGTCACGTCTACCAGTATACTCCTATTGTTAAGCATGGGTGAATATGTCTTTCATTTTCCCCTGACTGGACTGGTAAGGGACAGTTTCCAAGAGAAACACAATATGACCAAACAGAATCTGGAAATGGCTCAGAGCAAAAATAATCTGCATTGTTTTTCTATTTTTCAGCTTTTGTGCTTGCTAGTTTTATTGATGCATTGCTTGAAGAACACATTTTAGTTGCTGCTATGTCAAATTCCATTCTTCTAATGTTGATAAAGACGTTGTACAATTTGTTTCTCCTCATAACTATAAAATAAACATTAACACTGGAAACATATATGATCTCAAAATTTGGCTTTGTAAAAGTGTCAGTCTGAAACAGTAAAAACAAGTTAACCTGTACCCTTGCTATTTGATCTTTTTTCTTTTTGTATGTCATTTATTGCATATCAATATTTTACATGAATAACAACTCTTTGTGCATGAAACATATTTAAAAAAAAATAAAAACATGGTTGACTAAAGTGCATTCTTTGTGCTTTGAATCTAGTTGAAAGCAGACATTAAGCAAGAATGTTATTATTAGAGCTGGTCAAAAACTGGAATTTCCATCTTGCAGAAAATTCCAATATTATGGCATTTGTTATTGTCCAAATCAAGACAAAAAGTGAAAATATTGAAACTTTGCATGGAATGGAAAGTTACAAAATAATTCAATTTGGAAAGGCAAAATGGTTTGTTTGGCTTAGTTAAAAATTGAACGGTGTCTATGTGGACTGCAGTGGTACCTCAGGGAAGCTGTAGTTTTGATTAACCTGAATCAAAACATTTTGGTTTATTGAACCAAATTAAAATGTTCAGGTTTCGGGTACATTCACCATTAAACTGTGTCTGCCTGTGTTGCTATGGTGCCTCATGAAAATTATATTTAAGGTTCCTTTTGTCCCCCATTCTACCCTATGAGCTGGGTACACAGCCAGAAAATATCTCCCATAATGCATCATCATGAAGCACTGTGGCAGTCCAATCAGAGGTAAGACTGTGGTGCACCATGGGGAATGTAGTCCAGCCAAGGAGCTCAATCTGTAAAGGAAAATGGGAGCATGAGATATCTAAACTACAGCTTCCATAAGACATCATGGCAGCTCAGGTGGACACAGATTATTGTCAAATTGACCCAAAACTAAATATTTTGATTTGATGTAACAAACCACAATGTTCTGATTTGGCTCAGCCAGATATGAAATTAAATATTTTGTTTAATTATTTACCTGAAAGGTTAAAAAAAATGGCAAAATTGAAATTTTCATGCAGATATATTTTAATGGAAAATTCATAACCAGCTCTAATTATTACTGCTTCATAGTATGTATTATCTGACTGTTTCAAAAGTAAACATTACAAAAGCCTTGAGTAGCTTTGTGACATATTTACAACTAGAGCTGGGTGGGACATGGCTTTTTTGTATTGGGAAAAGATTGGTTATTTTAAACCTCCTGTCCCAAATTAAGACAAAAAATATAAATCTCAACAATTTTCAGAAACTGACAATCGAAAAATAATTTGGTTAAGGGTCAATCAAAATGTTTTATTTTGATAATTTCAAAATGCTTTGTTTCAATGTTGAGCTTTTTTACTATAATTAACTTAAATGTCAAGATTTGGACAATTTTGAAACTTTTTTCCATTTTTTTAAACAAGAAATTGCTCAAAACTCACAGTTTCCTGCTAAGTTTCAGTTAAGATGAATAAGCATTTTCTACCCAAAAAATTTCTGTTAAAAATTCCCTGCCAGTTCTAGTTTTAACTTCTCAATTATAGTCTCCAGTTTCTGCTGGAACAGAACTACTGAGATATCATGTGGCTCCTCATACTGATAGACACAAATGAGCTTATTTTAAATATTTGGGCATTATAACATTTAAAACTGGAGATAACAAATCGGTATACATCTTTTCAAGTATCCCAAATTAAAGAGAGGTCCTATAGTAGAGCGAAAGGATGGCCTTGTTGTTAAGGCAACAGATGGGGACTTCAGTTCCAATCTCAACTTCTGGCTTCAGTTCCCATCTCAAGTATATACTTTCTGTGTTAGACTGGGCAAATCATGTAGTGCAGCATTTTGCCCTGCAGCAGAAGACTAACAACGTTTGTTTAAATGAAAGCTAAGATTTGGAAATACTGTTCTTCACCAAAGGGAGGTGCGGGATGGGGGCAAATTTCCTGTGGAAAATTACATGGATATGGAATCACAGAATACATAGTGCTCCAATTATTGCCCATTTTGTTCCTATCTTTGGAAGGCACTTCCTTTATGTATCATTAGTGAAAGCTAAAAGAGTTGATTGCTTTGCTACTATACGTTAACTACACTGGAAATAATGGTGTACGAATATACATAGTAATTTATATTAATGATGCCACATTACTGAAATAAATCTTCTTAATAAAATTCTGTCCTTGGCTGAAGGATTGAAAGTCTCATCTCAAAGGTCCCTCACTACTGCCTTTTTCTAGAGCTTTATGGCTTGGGCCTCTCTGAGAAATATCCTAACCAGAGTTCCAAAAGCTACAAGATAGAGAACATGGAACTCCAGAGATTTTTTCTCCCTTTAAATCTTTAGACTATGTCATTACTTTTAAATAATCTTTAAAAATTAGGCCTGCCCTGTTGGTAACAGTTGGAACTATACAATTACAGTATCCAGTTTAAGCACTTACCCTGATGGGGGTTGATCTGATCTACAAACGTGAATTCTAGCAGCACAACCCTCATTATCAGTTCCCAACGAAAGTTCAGTTTCTTTGAAAAGTTTTGTTCATAAATAAGAATATGTGAACAAAAAGCTTCTTGCACAAGAGAAACTCCATTATCCAGGCATGGATTTTAAAATAACTTTGTTAGTCTCTAAGATGCCACAAGTACTCCTATTCTTTTTGCGGATACAGACTAACACGGCTGCTACTCTGAAAAGTGGCAGGACAGTTATTTGCAGAATTATTGTAAAGATTCCTTTTTCTGTTTTAGGGCATCAGCAATAGAGGCCAAATCTGGCTTATTTTATTCACATAAATCATCATGCTGTCCAATTATTTTGGACATCTAAGTATTGATTTAGGAGCCTAATTTCAGGCAAAGGTTTCTGATAATTGGAGTGGTAATCTATGTTAATAAAAAATTTGTAATTGAAACTTTGAATATTGTTTTACTGAAAAAAGGAAGAAAAGATGGAGCTTTGAGTCATTGTGTGTATTTGTGTCAGAAAATTCTCATGAATCTTTTACCTTTTTGTCTTCTGTTTCCTCTAATCACCTAATTCCTTAAAAAAAGTGCATGCAAAACAGAGTGGAATCCTAATTCCAGAGAGCTAATATTAATTTAAAATCACCTCAGAGTTAGCAATCGTTTTATGTAAATTATCTATCATTTCTGCATTCCTCATGCTGCCAACAAATAAACAAACAAAAAGTGGTGGCTCAGAATTCATCTGAAATTTTAAGTGTATTTTACAAAATAGGTGATGACCAAGAGAGGTGCTTGTATGAAACTATGTATAAAAAAAAACAGTATATTTTCTTTTAACAATCAAACCTTTTTGTTCAGCATTTCTTTGTCTTATGAGCTTATCTGTACTCTGAAGAGTTGCACCTGTGTGAGCAATGTAATACTTCTAATGGAATAGGTGGTGGGTCATCTCCTGTTTACCTTCCTAACTGATGTAATTACACTGCAGTGAACGAGACTGCTTGTGTGAATGAGATGAGCAGGAATTGTCTCATTGACAATAAACAAAAAGGAAATCACTACCCTGTTTTCAATGTCCACAATAACAAAAAAGCAAAAGGCAAGCTAACATAACAAATAACGTTAGGTGAAGATTTCAAAAGTGATATCATTGTTAATAATCTAATGGAATTTAATTCAAAAAATAATTAATTGTACCTGATAGCATCCCTTTAACACCTTAAGATACAGTTATATCGCTTTATTATTTTGTTTCTTGCCTATTTCAAAGAATTATCTACATATTAACATGCAGCCCAAACAACAAACATCAGTGCTTAGGTCTTCTAAAGGGGGTGGGCCAAATTCAGGGGCAATAAATTAGTTATGCTAACTTAGATTCCATTTTATTCAGACACCTTTACTCCTATTGGCACTCACCCACAAATGTGTGAGTGACTGGAAAGGAGTCTATGTTGTCATAACAAACACACACAAAGAAGCTCTAAGTATGGGCATGGCCTACTTTTAACAGACACTCTTACACTCACCTGTTAGTTACTTTCTTTTCTGAACTTCTCTCTTCTGTCCCTTGGGCATATCAGTAAAACCTTTTGACTCCTTTTAATGTAAACGCAGCAGGCCAAATTCAGAAATGACATGCCACAGGGTGACCTGCATGTTTATCTT